AAAGAATCAAAGATTGTAATGGGAAATGTCACTTGAAGAACAAACGATCAGATGGTCTTGAAGACGGATGGGTAGATAAATGAATGATTATAAACAGCTATCAAACTATTAAATTCCAAATGAATCAGACCTCAAGCAGCCAATTGTCTAATTTTGATACCTTAACTGGAGTTATAACCTGACACCGCACAAAACTGATAGCTTCCTGGCCTTCATTTTGAAGCATTAAAGATAAGCACTAACACAGTCCGCATAGCAGATGATTCAGCTCAAGCCAAATCACAAGAATTTCCATCACATTTCTCCAAATTATGCTTCTGTCGAGGAGCATAATGCACGTGCAGCCCGACAAACTTCATTTCATACGTGTTGTTGAAAGCATGAGCACCATACATTTCTTTCTTTTATTGTGGGGACACGTCAGATTGAAAACCGGCAGCCACAGCCACATTCTCGAGTCAGTTTGCTGACTGCGACAGTGAGGCAGAATATTTTGACATGAGGTGAAAATAAAGAAAAGAGCACAGGATGTGTGGTTTGAGAGAGGCATTCTGAGCTTCAGCTGACCTTCTGACCCCACAGTTTGCCTAACCCTTCCTTACTTCTACAGAAGAACCAAAATACCCACATCTTTGTAGTAGCATTGTTTCATCTACCTTACGCTCTGGTTTTCAATTAACACAATGACAGGTTTGAGTTGCTGTAAGCACTTTTTGGGTAAAGGAAACTTACTGCATTAGACATTACGTGGAAACAGATTTTGACACTGATCAGCAAACTCAAAATCTATAAGTTTTAATCTTAATAAAACCCTTCAAGATTTCTTCAACTGTGAACATTTTCTTTGTTATTTTTACTTTATTTATTTAAATCAACCCTGTCATCCAATGTGTACCAAGAAATACCTGAACCACTTGAGATTTTTCACATATTTCACATAACATGCCAACACAAATGACTTCCAAGTAGTAAAGTGGAAGGAAAATGATATGTGGTTTTAAACACTATATTTTAGAAATGAAAATCTGAAAAGAGTGGCATACATTTGTACCCAGTCCCTCTCTGTCAATAGTAGAAGTATATTTCAGCTGTAAGTATTGTGGGGCGTTTCAAGTAGCTTTGGTAGGATGGCTCTAACTATGTTTAGAGGCGTTTCACAACTGTACACTACTTTGGTTTGGTCTATCCTATAATAGATTGTGACATGTTAAAAATTTGAATTTTTCATGAGTAATTTTCCAAATAATAATAACTCAGCTTCTTGGAATCAGAAAATCATCCAATTGTATTCTACAATCATTTAAGCCCTTACAGAAATCAGATGACTCAAGAAGAACTCATCACAAAGTCCAGAGATGCGCAGTGACAATGAGCAAAATGCGCAAATCTAATTAAAGAGATTTCTGCACATTCATGCAGGTTGTTTTTAATTTGCAGCAAAAGCGAAGAAGAAGAAGAAAAAGTTGAAGACACATATAACTTGTTGAGTCCCAACTTACCGACCTGACTGCTCCAAGCTCTTGCAGCAACCATCTCGTGGTAAACTGCCAAAAGCACAACCAGGAGAATCGCCACAAACAGAAAATATTTGCCATTCCGCCGCAGCTTCTTCAGGGGAAAAAACTCCGTGATCATGTTGACTGCGGGACGAAATTAGCTCCCGAACAGATACTCATCCGTCGGACCCCCCCGCCCTGTGATCAGGGGGAGACCCCGGGACTCCAGGAGCCCTTCCTCCAGAGAGAGAGAAGCAGGCGGCCGGCCAGCTGCTCCCGGGAGGAGCGCGGCTACTTCAGTGCTCCTGAAAGCCCGAGCGATCCCGGTGCGAGAGTCCACTGGCGGCTCTCATCCAAGAAAAACAAACAAACAAACAAAAACATCCTGACCTGCGTCACCCGGTGATCTGGACTGATCTCTCCTAGTCATCTAAATATTTCAGAGGGTTTCCTGTAGGTCTGAATCAGGGGAGGGCGTCCCGCTGGCGCGCTGACCTCTGCTCCCTCCACGCACTGAAGCGCACAATGAAACAAACGAGGAGTGAAATCTCACACCAGCTTCATCCCCGTCTCAATTGAATCAAGTCAGACGCAGAGTGACAGGAAGCTGGGCCGGCGCTTCTACAGAAGCGCCGGCCCACGCGCTTTATTCTCACTGAGCTGGGATAAAAACTCTTTATTGACCGGTTATTCAACAAAATGAATACATTTCAATGATCATTTTGATTTTTTTTACGCATGTATTTAACGTTTTATTATTTTGAAAAGCCACGTCGGAAGTGCTACATGCTTGTTTAGCGTTGGCTTGATTTGAGTGGGTAAGGTAGGAGTAAACATGAGTAGAAGCCAACCAGGTAGGAAAACCCCCACCCTTCATCAAGATATCTATCTACCTGTTACAGGTAAAGCCACACGTATTTCCTTTATGCCCATTCTTCTGCTTCGTGTTGATTTGCTTCGGTTTATTCTAAAGGAAACTTTTAAATCTGTGCAAAGTGAGATTATGCACAATCAGGCAGTCGTGGATGGATCAGAGTTTCTTCAAAGATTAAAAGTGCAGTGCAGTGCAACGATCTCCTGGTGTTGGTCTGACTCCAGGAGAGTCAGACCAACACCAGAGCTCCTGTCTACCAGGAAATGTTGTGGAACGTCATACTTCCCACTGCTTACAAGCTGTATAGATGACTTGGCACCTGGAACAAATGCATGTTTTCATAAACATGGAATCACTGTGGTTGATTGACCAACAAAGCAGACAACCTGAAGGGTTAAAGCAACCCAGACTTTCTTAACACTCCGGCAACTAAACAAGAGAGAAGAGAGAAATCAGACACTCCCTTCTGGGCCAGTATTGATATACATTCCTTACCCGTGAACAAAACAAGTCTATCTTGCTTATCATCAACAGGCAGGGAAAGACAAAAAAAAAAAAAAAAACACTTCCGTAAGATGATGCCAGCGTCCCTGAGAGAAAGCTGAGGGATCAAGTGAGTTCCAGTTCATCCATGGAAAAAAAGATTCTGACCTGCCAACTAAAGCAGGTGCAACCTTGGAAAGGCTCATTATACAGCCTCAGGATTTAACAAAGGCAAGCAGGTTAACGCCTTGTGCTAGTAAAACCAATACCGGAGTGATTTGTTTGACAACATGCTGCCAGTAAGTTATTGTATTCACTGAACAGATCACAAGGCGTGGTCCTTATTTTCAAGGACGTTGATAGAAAATACTGAGAGATTAAGCCAATACAACCTAATAAATTAAGAGCAGAGAATCACAGATTTTAATAACCGTGAGGATACTGGTTAAGATTAACTACTGAGAACAAAATGTAGCAACAACAAATTCTCAAATGGTTGTATTCACAGATCACCAAAAAGTTTCAAATCTAACCCCCCAAAATTTCAGTAACTGAAGGCAAAGAGAGGGTGAAAGTAACAGCATTCAAACATGTACAGTGCAACTATAGTAGTATTTTTTTTAAAATACTGTCAATATGTCTAACACCCCTTCTCAACACTGTTTAAAGGGGCTGAAACATAAGTATGTAACTGACACAGTGTCAGTATTCACAAATGGACAGGATAATACACAAATGCACAAAGCAATATTTACAAATACATGTAATTGACTTTGTCCTTTGGGGACAAAGTATTTGTGGACCACTTTCTTTAACAGAATGTAGGAGTCTGTCTGGCAATCAGAAGGATTTTATGCTTCATTGATTCCAGACAAAGAAATAAATATTTATTTTTCTCCACTTGCTGTCAGTTGAGTTTTTATTAGATTTTCCATTAAATGCAGAATCAGAAGCTTCAAATTGGAGACCAACTTCAGCTTTGCCTGTGCTGATTTCACTGACTGCAGCGCATCTGCTTTCGGCTCCGACTGCTGTATTCTCTCTCGGGTTAAGATTACAATAAAAAAATGACAAAGAATTTTCTTAAAAATTCTTTGATTCAACGAGTTTTTAATTGTCATACAAGTTTGTTTGTTTGTGGTATGAAATTTGGACTCAGGTCCCAGATTAAGAAATTTAATTTGAATTAAATTAATAATACATTGATATAATAATTTATTCAAGGACCAGCGCTTTATAACTCTCCATAATATACAAAGGCTATTATTATCTTGGACCAAGGTCAGCTCCAGGGTCAATAATAGCCCAAAAACCTGAGCTGCTACCTCAGCTTGGGATGACAGATCCTGTAAAATAATTAATTTAATCAGAAGAAGTACAACTATATGGAAAGACATTAGCCTGACACCATCAGCATGCAGAAGCACAAAGCATAGCTCACTCACTTAGCTTGTAAACTTGTATTGATAGATAGCACAATAAAACTTAACATTAATAATAAAGGAACTTCTCATAACAAGGGGACAAGTTATGTTAAGATATTTCACTTAACACGGTTGCTGCCAGAAGCCATGTTGAGGACTGTACTTCACCATGGCTGCAGAAGGCTATTTTTTTTAAATTTTGGTCTGCTTTCTTCTTCAATAACTGATTTTACATAAGTTATACTCCCACATGGCATGTTCTTAAGATTGGCTGAAACAAAGATATGCTTGGTTGGTGAAACATATTTGTGGGTTGAGCCATGTCAGAGGAGTCTCAACTCACAAAAAAGCAGTGAAGTCCACAGACCCGTTTGTAAATCAGAATATATTTGTGTTTGGCACAAAAGATACAAGTCTTGCTGTGTTCATTTGTAAATATTGCATTGTGCACATGACCCATCCTGTAAATCTTGTTCTATGCAATGGAAAATTGTTCTGTGCATATGTGAATATTGAGAATGTTTTAATTACATATTTATCTTATTTTAAGCTTTGAACAAAGGTCCCTGTGGGAGGCATAAAAAAGCTGCTCCTACTGTTAACAGTTTCTCACAATTCTTAGAGTAAGGAGATATCAATCAAGCAAAGAAGAGAAAGGAAAGTACCACAGGAAACCTCAAAACTGAGACATAAAGATATAAAAAAAAGGCACAAATACTGAGCTCGTAGTGAACAGTTTATTATAAGTCTGTCAGGACACACCAAGCAGTGACTTCCCAACAAAGATAAACTCAAAAAAAGCTCATCTTACATTCGGCATCTACTTTAGCTTTTGTCCATGTAGGCACTGCTGACTAAAATGCAAAGAGTTTATGCACAGATTCCAGTTGCTTTATCAATTCTACTTTATAAATCTTTGTTGAGAACAGTACAGTAATCACAAGCACAACACTAGAAAAAAAAAGTACAAAGTCAATATTTTCGAAGAAAAAGTGAACAGTCCTGTACCCAAGGGCTTTAAGGGAACCCCACAATTTTGCTGAGAGAAGATCGAAGTCTGTAAACTAGCCCAGACTGACGTTTTATCACATTTCCAATCCACAGTGCTACATACACACTTAATGACATTAACATTCAAACCAAACCAGTTCTATGAACACAATCATCCGTGCTGCAACAATTGATCAGTAGGCCCATGAGGAGGCTCGGATGAACAGCAACAATAAGGAATATGGGACAGAAAATGTTGTGGGGTAAATGGCGGAGCCCTTGACGGGTTGTAAAACTCTGCACGCAACACCTGGGATGCATTTTTTTTCCTTACCCACATTTTTTCCAACAAAAACAAACAAACAAACAAACAAAAAAAAAAAAAAAAAAACAAAAAAAAAAAAACACATGCACAGTTCAGAGCTGTGGGCTGAATGTGTTCAGAGCCAAAGGTCATGGCACACAATCAACTTATTAAATCCATTTCCCAGAGTGCTGTCAGCTGAAGAAGCCCCACTCACTCAGCTAGCTGCCACACCAAAGAGCCTGGACACAGTGACATGCCAAAGACCCGCCCGAGGTCAGTGCTCTCAGTGACACTCATTCTCGCATATACATATATACACAATCATACCTTAAAACATAAATGGCCGGTTACAAAAGTCTAAGTACATTTGAACCATAATAACAGTTGCATCTTCATCTATGCTTTCACTTCATTGAGTTTCCTTTTCCCCATTTTCAACCTCCATTGCCTCCTCGCCGTTCTCCTTGCTCTCAGGTTTCACCTTCTCTGCTTCTTTCTGCTCAAAAAGAAAAATATCTGTATTAGTGCATCTCCAGGTCGCTTTTTGGTGATTTATGCCGCCCTCTAGTGGCAACTTGGCAGTTGTGTACGAAAAACAAGGTCCTCACCTTTGAATCCCTTTCTGCAAATTTCTGAAACATGTTAGCATAGATGCGTTTGTCCTTTTCGTGCTGCTCCTTAATGCGTTTCTGACACAGCATCACCTAATTTGACCAGGAGATAACCAGCTGTTTAACAAAACTAAAGGTAAGCACCAAAAAGGAAACTAGTTGAAGTTGCAAGATATTTTTCTGCAGTACCGATAATTTTATAATATCACTGATATAAAATTCAAAATTTTCAAATATTTTTTGACAGCTTCCTTAATAACACTGCATCTGATTTTTAAAAGGCAGATTTAAGAAATCTCTTTTCTATTAGGCTTGAAACAATTAATTGGACTAATTGTGATTAACTGATAACTGAAATAATCAATTAGTTAATTTTGTAAAGTTATTTTAATGCAAAAATGGGCAAAACTTTATGAGGAATTAGTACTAGGTATTATACCTGACTTTTTGCAGCTTTGTTGGAAGGATACAGCTGAACAACTCGCTGGAAATCATCTCTTGCCTTCTCAAATTCATTCATACCGAACAGCGCCTCTCCCCGTCGGAACAAAGCCTTCTCGTTTGTAGTATCCATTTCCAGGGCCTGCAACAGGAAATGATGGGGTCTTTTTGAGATTTAAACAATTCCCTCATCTGTGCAAGAACCTCATCTGAAAGACATCTGTTCAGTCTTCCCTTTCAGAAATAAGAGAAGTCAAATACCTTGTCACAATTTTCAAAGGCTTTGTTTGGCTCATGCATTTTAAGGAAGCACATGGCCAAGTTCAGATGTGCAGCCAGTCGCAGGGTTTTTGCCTTCTTTTCATCCTCGTCCGACAAGCCAGACTCATGCTCTAGCCAAGCAACAATCTTTTTGTACTGCACAGATGCCTGTTTGTATTTCCCATCCTGTAACAGAAAATCCCCAGGTCAGAATACATAACAAAGACACATGGAGTAATTAAATCCAGAATAAAATCTTTTGGCTTTTTAACAAACATAATGTACCTTAAAACACTGTGTTCCTTTCTCCTTGACGATACCGCTTTGTTCCAGCTTTTCCATTGTGTTCATTTCCCATGACTCCTTAGCCTGTTAGATTAAAAATAAGTCAAATGTGAAGAAACTTGATCAACAACTACCTGTCACAGATCTTTGTGATATACTTACCTTCTCAAAAGCTGTTAGCTTAATCTTGTACTGCAACGTTGCGCCACCAGGAATACAATACTTTTCATTTCCATCACCCCCAAAGCCGTAACTACAAAACAAACACAGATGTAGCAAAAAGGTTTTGTGCAGCATAATCAATTTAACTGTTGATTATGTTAAACTGTACACATACACTAGTACTAATACCTAGGGGTAATTTAGATACCACAAACCTCTGGTCATGTTTATGGACTATGGCAGGAAGCCCACTAATGTACAAACTGAACATGCAAAACTCCATTCAGAAATACCAGGCCAGGATTTTAACCTTAGACCTTCTTGCAGCAAGGCAATAAACAGTACCAATATTACACGAGAGACAAGCTAAACTAACAAACATAATCATACTTAGGTTTCATAATGAAGAGTGCCTCTTCTCCCTGCTCCATGGCCATGATGGCTTTCTCCACACCACTGGGCAAGCTAAAACTCTCTCCATCCCCAATCTCAAATTTCAGCTCCCTCTCATCAAAACAACGTCCATCGCAGGTACCTTGAACAAAGACTGAAACAGAAACACTGGGATTAACTCGTGACAAACCTGGGGGGTGTGTACTATAAAGCAGGGCTTTCTTTGAGGGGTCATCAATAAAAACTGTGTTTAAGTGATGCTGTGCAGCTGGTCATCAACTCAAAGAGTTTCAGACTGTGAACACATGCACATTTGTGAAACATTGAAATAAGTGGGCCAATAACAAAGAAGATGCAGGCAAAAAAATTGGCGACAATTTTCAATCTTTAAGTAAAAATTAGATTCCCTCATGCAAGAGGCAATATGACAAATGTCTAAATCACTTGGGTCTAAACTTGTGCGCCAAAGTAGGTTTTAATAAAACAAAAAAATATTTAAAGACACAAAAAAGTAAATCATTGTCCAACTAAAACGAAAAATATGTATGTATATTTTTCCTAACAAAAACACAATTCTATTGGTGAAACTATTCTTCTGAAAATTATTATTTTTTTTTTTAAATGATCTGCATCAACAGCCTGGCGCCCAGATGTGACCGTTCAGAATTTATATTTCTAGATGAACTGTCTTATGGTTGGTTTGTGATTTGTAACAGTAAACCAAACATGTAAAGACGAACAGACGTGTTTAGACACATGTATGATGTGATCTGCACTCACAGACGTTTGAGAAATGTTTCAGATGTATGCTTTTAAAATAAGAAATGCAATCATTGTTAGAGTCTAATCTACAACTTCAACATGGAATTTACTTTTAAGTTTGTTTTAGGTAAAGGCTGAAATCCGTTGGAAACTGTGGTTACTGAAATATGTACCACCCACAGCAGTTCTCACTGGTCTTGAAAGTGTAGCTAAACCAGTTCTACAACCTACTTTAAAGGATTTTTCTATTCAAGTGTGGATACTGAGCCAACTATCAGCTAACCTTTAAAATGTGAATATACTTGTTCGCTTCTGCATGCGGCCATGTGTTGCCACGTGTTGCCGCGGTTCATAAATTTGATCAAATCTAGCTCCGTACATTCAAAACAACTATGATTATCACGCTTCTAAAAATCTGGTCAGCTCTTAAAAATGTTCTTTTTCAAAAAACAAATCCATCACACTGCTCGATTTGTCAATGAATGAAGCAGAATGACCCTGTTAGGGTAAAACTATTTAGCAGAAACTTAAGATGTACAATTTCAAATAAAACAACATATTAGAGATTTTGATTGATATGTCTTGTTACATTAACTTCCGTCATTAAAATGATCAACCATTCAAATGATACCTTCCACCACAGCTCCTTCATTGGGCTTGGAGTAACCCTCTCCTTTAGTGATGATACGCCGAATGATTCCTCCATCTTCTTCCTCAGTTATGTCTTCCCCGCGAAATTCAAACAGTTCCACCTGTATTTATGTAAATGAATAAATTTAAATTTTGACTTTCCAGGCCAACAATAAGCAAGAACACCTGGAAGCGGTCCACTCCAGGCACAGGTGAGTTTACAGTTTCAAAGGGCACCAAAGTTTGTAAAAAAAAAAGAACAGTCAGATGAAAAATAACAAGAAGACTTCCTATCATTCCTATTAATATAATACTGTATGTAACAAGCGTAGAGTAACAAGGTTTAGAGAATAAAATAACTTATTTAAATCATTAGATTAAAAAACTAGTACAAGAAATTTCAATGAGATTTATTAAAATAAAACAGATTTTTAGTTGGTTGGACCTTATTGGAAACAATATCAAGACAAAATTCACTATAAGGCTGTGAGACAAAGCAAAACAGGTCAATTGTTATTATTGTTATTATTTTTTTAATATAATGGAGCATTAAAATCTGTCAGGGATTTACGTGAACTGGAGAGATCATTAAAGGCTCTCTCAGAAGTACTGTCTACGTTCTCATTACCAGGAATGCTCACATGTGCCAACACACACACACACACACACACACACACACACACACACCCACACACACACACAAAAAAACAATCAATATTTAAACTCAAAGGTTTTAAAAGCTTTCTTGCTAAAAGAACAGAACGGCAAAAGATGTAATATCGGCCTGGCAGACAGCTGAAGCCTTTACCTGCTGCTCATTTAAGAATTCTGCTTGAGCCCATGTACAAAAAAATAACATATATATTATAACATTAATATAACCTTTATAGACAACACCTTAATTCAGCAGTGTCATGTAAGTAGATTTCTTTTCAGCTTTAAATCAAGCAATAAAATCATTATTTACATTTTCAGTCTAAATTTTGTTTTATATTTTACTAAAAAATGACCATACCAAGATAATATAACACCAATTTCTTCCTATTCTGAATATATATAAAATAAGACTCCTTAAATAGTCAACCTACCTCAAAAACAAGAGTGGCTTTGGGAGGTATTTTGGGTGGGCTGCCTGCGGATCCATAAGCATACTCTGGCTTGCAGATGAGCTGACACAGCTCTCCAACTCTCATTGTAGCCACGCCAATATCCCATGCCTTAATTACTTGACCTGAAATGGGAGAGAACTTAAATAACCCTGATAGTTGTGCAACTATAACTGAGAAATATTGATGTCCTTTAGATAGGAGACTAACCTTTGCCCAGCTCAAAGGAAAATTTCTCTCCTCTGTCTCTGCTCGAGTCAAAATGTGTCCCGTCCAAGAGAGTGCCCACATAATGGACAAACACTTTATCACCAGTCATGGGGAAGTCTGTGCCTGTGCCTTCCCGTTTCACCAGCTGTAAGGAGAGACATTTGCAGAAGTTATGGAAAACTGTTGTCCAAAGCCAAATTTTAGTCTGTGTCCTGCATAGCCACTGAACAGTTCAGATTCTGTACATCAAAAAAGATTATTTTAAAAGAAATCCATTCAGGACTGCTCTCCTGTATGGAGCGTAAATATCTCAGCGCAGCAGTGACAGACTGACTATCAGATCCTTCTGGAAATGCACGCTGTTGCACTGTAAGTATTAAATTTCACCTTCACCCAATAATCAGATGACACAAAAAAGCGAATGCAATGCAAAATTACGGGGATTTACTGTTTTGTTACGACTACTGTGGCTAGCTTGTACGTCCTATTTACATTGAAATTCTGTGCGTCACACAGGCTACACACAGCTAACATTAGCCTAGCTATTTCTAGCAGGAGTAAAAAAGCACCAGTTCGTTTACCTTTAAAACACCTCCATCTTTCTTTGGTGTGATGTCTTCTCCTTCCATTGGCATGGTGCTTTGTCCCTCGCTGTTCTGCTCCTCTGCAGTCATCGTTTTTGGGTCAGATCCCCCCTATCCCTACAACGCAGCACGAACTGACACTTGCTACCAACCACGCCAAGTGCAGCAAGCAACAACTAACGTCAACACAAGTAGCAGCAAAAGGCTTCGTTTCGCTCCCCCGCTGTTTGTTCCTCTCTTCCTTTTTGCAGTTGGAAATTAAGTGCACAATCATGGGTTTCAAACAACCACCCAGTAACCCAGTTATCTGTGGTGTTAGACAGACATCTTCCAGTTCACGTTGGGCAGCTGACAGGCGATTAGAAGAGCAGAGAACTTTCCAGACAGTCGACCTGAATCGACAGCGACGAATGCGCTGTGGGGTGGCGTTTCACGTCTGTACCATTATATACCGCAAAGGCGGTGCAAAGCCAAAGAAATTGAACAGTTACAAGATTTGGAAACAATTTATATCTATAATTATATTTAAATATCATAATTAATTTTTATATTCTGTATAATTGTAATACAGACCATAAAGCGAGCACGTTAAAGCTTGTATTATAATTGCCCCGCCCATATGAGTTCTATTATATAATAAAACATGCGCTTCTATTTTTATCCCCCCTCCTATTGGCCACTGTTTGTGACCACTTCTTGTTTGTTGGCGCGGTTGTTAAAAACCCGGGATTTGAACGAAGGACGTTTCGAAACTTCGTCCCTGTGGTGAGTTCACTACTTTGCCGATATATAATATATGCGACAAGATCCAGGGATTAACTATTAAGCGTATTTTTAGCTACTTATTACTAGTACTTTTAATGTGAGCCTTTTCTGAGTGACACATGTCCCATCCACTAACTCCGAATGAACTGTTAGACACGGAATGGTAGACGATTTAATGGTAGGAGGAAATCTCTTCCTGGAAACAGGATAGTGTCTGACTTTGAATTTATGGCAACCATGAATGCAAAGAAAGACATATCATATCTGGTTTGGCCCCAGACATGAAATGCCTTCATCTACAGGCGAATCTTAATTAAGTCGTCTCATTAATTCCTTACACTGGTTCCTTTTTCTGATTGACGTTGATGATCATGGCTTACGTCTAAAGACAAATAAAGAATATAGTCTTCCATAAAATGTTGAACGCTAGGAATGTAAAGGCGTGTTTTGTCACTAATACCTTTAGCAAAAAGGTCATGCCACAAAAGGTCAGCTATTTTCAGATAAATATGTCAATAAAAAAATTCTGTGGCAAATCTGCACAGCAGTGATACTCAGTCTGGAGCATTACAAATACTGAAGAACCCCCAAACACTGGGAACACAGAGAAAGACAAGGCAAGTGATGCCTTCACAGCAATATTTACTGATATTATTGTATGATTTTCAAATATTGTGTTTTATTAAGTTTGAAATCAGAGCAACCATTTGCCAGAATATTTTAGAGCACTCAATGTTTCTTCTTTACTGACAAGGCTTTTTGAAAATACAGATTTAATTTTCCATCAGGATGTAGCACCAGTCCAAAAGCTTTGATACCTGCTTTTGGGATCATCACATCACTAACAATTAGGATGACTTACCGGTACTTGAAACACAACCTTACATACACAAGTCTGTACAGGATTACTGAATAGAAATATCTAGTTTATTTACTTTGGTTCAACATTATTAGCTTTTTCTTCTTTTGCTCTTTCCTTTGGTTTGTTATTTTGTTTGCATTTTCTTTTAAATCCTATCAAGCACTTTTGTAATGCCTTGTTGCTTATGGCTCTATCTTATCCTTATGTGTTTTGTCTTGCAGGGACTTTAGGAGCATGGAAAATGGAAGGGACTCATTTCCCTTTCCCTATAAGCCCTACAACATCCAGGAGCAGTTCATGAAAGCGCTCTACAGTGCCCTGGACCTAGGCAAAGTGGGCATCTTTGAGAGTCCAACTGGAACAGGCAAGTCTTTAAGTCTCATATGTGGAGCCCTTAGCTGGTTGGTAGACTATGAGGAGAAGAAGAGACAGGAAGCCGCTGCTCTGCTGCAGGAAGGAGAAGCATCTCTCTCTGCCTCTGCTGCTCCATCAGCCAGCAGCAGCTCTGTGTCAGCAGAGCCCGACTGGATCACCGACTTTGTCCAGAAGAAGGCTGAACGTGACCTGGTGTCAAAGTTAAAGGTGGAGGAAGTTCAGATGGCAGCTTTTATTTAATTGTTTTTCATGCTTCTTAATATAATTGAAGCTTTTTTTTTCAGGAGGAGGAGCTGAAGAGGAAAAAGAGAGAAGAGCGAATGGAGATGATCAGAAATAATATTCATCTAAAGTATGCAAGTAAAAGAAAGGTAAGACTGTTTGGAGAGCCCCATGTTCAGAATCCATCCTTACACATTTCATACAGGTAGATGGAAATGTTTAACTGTGACCTCAACTCAGAACTGTGAAGACGATGAGGCATTCAAGCTGCTTCAGGTCAGTAAGGAGGAACAAACTTCGACGCCAGGAGACCAGGAGGACGAGGAGCTTATTGTTGCAGAGTATGAGAGTGATGATGAATCCAAGTGTAAGAGCAGGTGAGTGAATGCTTTCATCGACTGCACTCTTACAGATATGATTAAAAGCCTGAAAAGGCGATTAAAACAAGGTGACTTTGCTTACCAGATTCTTCGGAGGTGAGGATGAGGACGACGAGGAGTTGGTTGAAGAGCATGTAACTAAGGTGACAAAGTCAGCATACGCGTGATCTTAAAATAGATCACGTTTATGCCGTGATCTATTTTAATTTTGATTCACATCAGAATCAAAATCTTGATTCTGATGTGAGTGTGAACTTTTCTGCTTGCAGATTTACTACTGCAGTCGCACTCACTCCCAGCTGGCCCAGTTTGTCCATGAGGTTCAGAAGAGCCCCTTCAGTACAAACATCAGTCTGGTCACGCTGGGTTCTAGGCAGGTACAGGTACACACACACAAGCACACCCTTTTACAAGAAAGTAATATTTTAAAAAAATAACATTGAGCATGGTAACTGGTATAGTTTGGGTTTTCATCCTTTACAAACTGGGACTCGAGAGGTTTTCGGCTGGCTTTTTGCAGGGCAGTTTTTTTTTTTTTATTTACTTTACTGTAACTGATATGGCAGCTTGTTATAGTCTGACATTTGAGGAATGTTATGTTGGAGGTTTAGTTTTCCACCACACAGACCAGAATGGTCAATTTTAGAATCTAACTCTCCTTTAAACTTCTCAACAATTTTCTCTACAGTGCTGTTTGTTCACTATTATAGTGTTCTGAACCTCTGAGACGTTCACAGAACAGCTAGATTTATGGTAGCCGTTCTGATACACAGGGGAACTCTTGTTATTAAATAGGTGATTTATGCAAGGAGTTATTGCAGTGGATTTTATGTAGGTGAATTGGAAAAAGGGACTTAACAAGAAGTAGTTTGCGTTTGTTTAAAATCAACATTTTCCTTTCGTCTCACATTTTTGCCCTGATGCAAATTACGAAGAAAATTATTTAACACACTCTTAACTGACTACAACTTATACTGAAAATATACCAAACAACAAACAAAAAGCATAAACAAAAGTTTCAGTCCACTTTATCCCTCAGCTTCACCCGATAGTCTGCCACAACAAGATGGATAATTAGAGAGTTCCCTCCAGGTGAAAGTCTGGCCTGGCTGCCATCACATGTGCACTCAATGAAGCTAGCCCACAGGAAGTTGAAGTCAAAAGAAAAAGAAACTAATCTTCAAAATAAAAGTGTAACAAAGCAAATTTCCTGTTGTGTTTGTGTGCACCTCAGCTTAATGATGCACATGCTTTACTGCACCCTCACAATTGAAATTTATTTTAACAGTCATGTTCAGTTAAAACAGATCGCTTTTTTTAAGCATAATTACAAAACAAAAATAGACAGGTTGCCCATAAGTTTGATCCTGTTTTCCTTGCTGCTGCAAGGAAAACAGGGCAAAAGGACCAGCTGCATCCTGTTTTTTGCAGAATCTGTGTGTTAATGAAGAGGTCCAGCGGCTGGGCAGCATCCAGCACATAAATGACCGCTGCATGGAGATGCAGAAAAACAAACACGGTGAGAGCCATTTAGCCACAACATTACTCAACTCTCAAAGTAAGGTATTTTTCTTTTTGGTTTATTTTTTTCCCTCATTTCTTTATTTGTTTTGCAGACAAGCAGCCCCACGAAGACGGTGCAAAACGTAAGAGAGGTCCGCCGAAGAGTGTGTGTCCTTACAACAAAGCTCTGGCTCTGCAGCAGATGAGGGATGAAGTTCTGGGGACGGTGCAGGACATAGAGCAGCTGCTGAAGCTGGGCAAGGAAACAAAAGCATGTCCCTATTATTCCACGCGTCTTGCTGTCCCACCTGCACAGGTAAATCTATCCACTTATACACCATTAATCCTCTCTACCGGTAAAGGTAGAGATGGATTTAATAGACCTGCTTGCAGCATCTTTTGCTTTTATTTTTTTGTAGCTGGTCGTTTTGCCCTATCAGATGGTTCTTCATGAAGCTACAAGAAGGGCAGCAGGTGTCCAGCTAAAGGGACAGGTATGTTTATACCTTATTTCTGAAGCATATTTTAACTATTTATAACCAACTTAGCCTAAAAAGCGTTTTAAATTACATTTGAAATACTTGCAATGCTGTTAAAATTTACAAAGCTCTTAAACTTCATTTCCTGATGTATGAAAATCGGCTTGCATCTTTATAAAAAACAAAACAAAACTCATTTTACATTGCATTTCCCATTTTGAGGAGTCCCTCATAATCATACCCCAGGGACAAACAATGTCATGTATTACTAATTAAAAGTATCTGAACAATCTGATAATTTGAAGAAGTAAATGATGAAAAAAAACCAAATAAATAAATTAAATGTGTGCAGTTACATTTTTGTAATAACTGTTAGAACTTTTTCTGTTTTTCTTGCTGACTCAGTTTTCTGAAATCAAAGAGGAAATTGTCAGTGTGACATTCTGCTACTATAATAAACTAATAATTTATTTTAAAGTTTAAATAAGTCTGGAGGGCTCTGCAACCAGGATGCCTAACTTCATATTTTAAAAACAGGTGGTGATCATAGACGAAGCGCACAACCTTAGTGACACTCTCTCCTGTATACACAGTGCAGAGCTCAGCGGAGCGCAGGTAAAACTCCTTCTAAGTCTCAATTATGTACGGTCTCAGCTTCGATGTTCCTAACGTCTGAATTTTCTGCAGCTTTGCCGCACCCAGTCCCAGCTCACCCAGTACGCCGACCGCTACAAGTGAGTGCTGAGACAGAATCAAATCATACATTCAGTTTTATCTTGCATTGTTCTTATTTAATATGCACCTGTTTCAAACACAAGGAACAGACTAAAGGCGAAGAACGTGATGTACATCAAACAGATTCTGTTTGTGGTAGAGGGACTCATCCGTGTGCTGGGAGGTGAGTGTCTCCAATTTCCAAGTAAAATTTTTGGGGTTCTTAATAATAATCCTGGAATTTCTCACTGTTTTCCTGTTCCAGGTAAAGTTGGACAGAATCCGCAGAGTCAGACTACACAAGCAGGTCAGTCAGGGATAAACATGTGTAACATAGTTATTAGAGAAACCTTGAAAAATTGCTCACTAGAATTTTTTTTTCTTTTTTCCCCCTCAGGGACTGAAATTTATACTATTAACAATTTCCTCTTCAAAGCTCAGATTGACAACATCAACTTGTTTAAGGTAGTTAAAGTTATTTCTTTAGCCTAACAACATGTTGGATGTTCAGTTTTACCAAAATAATTCACCTTTATGTTACTGATGTTCCTATCTTAGCTACAAAGGTACTTTGAAAAGAGCATGATCAGCAGGAAGGTAAATATTTCTTTTGTTCGTTTGATTAATATGATGCAAATAAAAATTATAATATCTTAAGTTTTTAAAACTTTTCAACCTCTGTTGGCAGCTGGGTGGATTTGTGGAGAAGTACGCCGGCTCTGGTGTAACGCTGCACACCCAAAGCAGCTCCAACAAGGAGAACCGTCGCACAGAAGGCCTGAATCGCTACCTTCAGGCCCTAAACAGCAACCCCACCTCTGCACCAGGTTAGCTTCCTCTTTGTAGTCGTTTTATGGACATTTAAGAAACATTACAGGTGTTATTTTTCTGCATGTGACCATGTATTGCACAGAAAATAGCTGTAAGTTTTGCTCATTTTTTATCATACGCTGTGTACTTTTTTGTGAACAGTTCCTTCAGCAGACCAGCAGGGGGCTTCTGAAGCAGACAAAATGCTGTCCGCATCTCCTATGATGCAGGTGGAGGGTTTCTTCCTGGCTCTCACCAACAGTAACACTGATGGCAGAGTGGTGTTACAGAAACAAGGTATTTGCTTTTTCATACCTTGGAGATGTGTTTGATTTATGTCACAGATTTAAATCAAATACAAAGGCTCAACTGCCCCTGTGTGAGACTGTCCATTTGTTTGTTACCCAGGCACTTTGTCGGAGAGCAGCATCAAGTTCCTTCTTTTGAATCCAGCAGTCCATTTTGCCCAGGTGTTGAAGGAGTGCAGAGCAGTCATCATTGCTGGGGGAACAATGCAGCCTGTGAGTTGATTCTGAGAGTTGGAGGAAATAAAAGGGTTGGGTGGAGATTTTAAGATTAAAGAAATATATACATGTATAGGTTTCAGACTTCAAACAGGAGCTACTGTTCTCTGCCGGAGTGAAGGAGGAGCGTATCACAGAGTTTTCCTGTGGTGAGTCACTCTTTTTCTCTCACACCACTACAGCTTATTGAGCTTTTGTTGATAACGCTCTTTATGTTAATGGTTCTGTTTATGCGTAATTCTGTTCATAACAGCTATCTAAGTAAAATAATGTCTTTTCCCGAGAAACAAAAAGCTGCACTTAAAGAGCCAGGTTTACAGTAAAATAAATATAAGCCCCAATTATTATTTATGTATTTACAAATCAAAAATGATTTTATTGCTTAAGTTACATTAGTCTAAAAATCTAATTATTAAGTTACCAGATGATGGCAGTCCTACTTTAGATGTGGATAAGCAGCAGCCTTACTCTGATCTTCTCCCAGATGATCAAGTTTCTCTAGCTCTAAAGGTGCAGGAACAGAGCTTGAGATCGTTTTCGGCGGTAGTTTTTCTTTGCCCAGCGTTTACATTACAGGAATCAGGAGCAAATTAGACAAAAGCAGGTAGAAATTACCCTGAAATAGATCTGGTAGGCAGGTAGGGCTCTTAAGGCTGAGACCAGCCATGCTATGGAAGAAGTTCATTTCAGCCCCTTGCATCAGTGATCTGGTTCTCTTGATTATGACCCACCTCTCTGCTACAGTGCAGATAGTATTTGAAAATGTTTTTTTTTAAACTAACCAGAGCACCATCCTCTTGATACCCTATCACTTTGGAATGAGACATCAAGATATTCCAGCTGCTCTCCACTTGTAGCTGAGTTATTGGTTGGGAACAATCCATAGTCCGCTGTTTCTAATTCACTTTAAGCTCAAGTCAGACTAGGTTATCCAAGTGGAACAATCCTGGTTTATAACTAGAACAATACGGAGAGGAGGGATTGAGAGTAATCAAGCTGAAATTGGCTTAAAAGAGGTTTAGATTTCAATAAAGAAATGTTTTCATGACAGATAAGAATTGTCTTTTAGCAACAGTTAGCTGTCACACAATTGTAAATCCTCAAAATATCCTGGTTAATTTGTATCTTTTTTTAATCCTTTTATTTGACTTCTTGTGAAATCTGCAGGCCACGTGATTCCTCCAGAAAACATTCTTCCTCTTGTCTTATGTGCCGGTCCATCTGGTCAGGAGCTGGATTTTACCTTTCAAAGCAGAGACTCTCCTCAAATGGTACAAACAGACACATTTCAATAAGTTAACAACTTTTAACACTTTAAATTGTTTTTACTTATTTTAAAGGTTAACACACTTAAAAGATAACAGTGCTGCAGGATCATGGATAAAAGTAGAGGTTTCGAATCCATCAGAAATAGAAATTACATGTTCTCCATTCATGCATCAAAGTGCATGTCCTTAACCTTTTTATCGTACTCAGAAAACTGAAGAAAAGTGTTCGCTATTGGCTGATGCGTTCACAGATGAGAAATGTTGAAGCTCTTTGTGTCAATGAATTTGATTAGAGAGGGGGAAAAAAAAGTTTTTTCTTTTTTCAGTATTTATTTTCAAGGGAAAATAGGTCGATTTTAATCTCCGGCCAATTACTTGGTCCATCTTTTGTGATAAAGTACATTTTTCCAAATAAATTATAATAAATAGAATTGTGTATGTTCTATTAAGGATTAACAGGAGTCTTCTGTTAACAGATGGACGAAATGGGACGCATTCTCTCCAACATCTGCAACGTCGTTCCGGGCGGGGTTGTGTGTTTCTTCCCCTCTTATGAATACTCCAGGAGAATCATTTCTCACTGGGAGGCCAGCGGTGCACTAACCCGGTTGGGGAATAAGAAAAAGGTATAAACCAGCAGCATATTTTAAAAGTAATGAAGAGTGCAAGAAAAAAAAGCACAGCTTTATTAAAGACCTAAATCTCTCACAATCGCTTTTCAGATCTTCCAGGAGCCAAAGAAGGCGAACCAGGTAGAGCAGGTGCTAAACGAGTTTTCCCGCTGTATCCAGGTAACGTGAACTTCTCACCTGGCAGATATATGATCGTCAGTGATTCTGTCATTGTGATGAGACTTCACAACTACTTTCATTTCAGAGGAGTGCCGCGGACATCCGGGGAGGAGTCACAGGAGCGATATTGTTCTCTGTCGTCGGTGGAAAGATGAGCGAGGGCATTAATTTCTCTGATGACCTAGGCAGGTGTGTTAATCACAAACCCCATAGTTAGCAAGCTCCTGTACGTGGCCTGGAATATTAAAAGTTAATTATTCGTGTTTGTGCATATGATTACAGGTGTGTGGTGATGGTTGGCATGCCGTATCCCAACATCAAATCTCCAGAGCTGCAGGAAAAGATGTCGTATCTTGACAAACACCTGGTCAGATTCTTCTTTCAATCCAAAATTGTTATATTTAAGGTAAAATATTGTAAGAGAGATGAATGATTTTATTTCTATGTTGCAGCCTCACAGCCATGGGAAAAACCCTGGACAGGCATTGGTAGAAAACCTCTGCATGAAGGCTGTTAACCAGTCTATAGGTACTGATTACAGAGGGTAAATTAAAAACAATATTTGTTACTCAGGAGGCGTTAACATGTTTGTTCTCTCCAAAGGCAGAGCCATCCGACACAGAGGCGACTATTCCTCCATTGTCCTTTGTGACAGGCGCTACGCTCGGCCCGCTACGCTCGCTAAACTCCCCGCGTGGATCAAGAATCGCACCAGTACACACTCCAGCTTCGGCCCTGCTTTTGCTGCGTTGCGGAAGGTGAGAATGAAGCAAAGAGCTCAGAAGTTTGTTGCGTCTTGACTGAACGAAGACAAGTTCATAATATCTGTTTTTTCATTTTCTGCTTTCCTAGTTCTTCCTGGAGAAAAGGCAGATACAGGAGTAGTTTGTCTCCCATAGAGCTTCTCAACAGCTTGAAAAAGAATGAAGCTGCACAAAATGTAATGTTTAAAGAAAACTGAGAAATGTTCATAAAGCTCTTATCTTTGAGTTACACCATCACTACCAGCAATATTGTTTTTTGTTCTCTTTATTTTACATTTAAACATGTCAGGTTCTCCATTGATCAGAATGTTCTTAGATGTTCTGAGGTTTTAGTCATGTTAGCGATTGAAAGCTATTTTCTTTTAAGTGCTACTAGGCCGACACAGCGATGATGACTTCTTATAGAAAAATGTAAATATTTTAAGGACAGTGTTATTTAGTTCAAAGCCTAAATAGTTTTTTCATAGGCTTGTCTAGATATTTGGAATTTATCAAAAGTGTCAAGTTATTTGAATCTTATATTTATTTCATTACAGCTGCAAATGTCTTAAGTTATTTAGCCAGCTTTTTTCTTTTCCTTTTGGATATTTATGTCTTTTGCGTTATGTAAATAAAATGCCAGTTCTTCAATAAAAAAGGATGTTCCGTGCCGATCATTGTCCATCATGTTATGCTTCCCAGTCGTCATCCTCTGCTGCTGAATGTGGGGCGGGTGGGGGTGGGATGACGTCCGACATCCTGGCGAATGCGCCTCCGGTACCAGCGGGAGTTTCAGCCGACTCTCCACCTGCTGGGCCTTTCCCCGATATTCCTGGAGAAAAAGAACATCCAATCTGTCATCATCGTTGGTTTACCTAATATGAAATTTATTTCATTGTCAATTACAACTGAAATATTTGTTCTAAAATGAACAAGAGAAACTATTTTCAAAATATTTTAAGCCACACAGGTTTTAAGATTACAGCACAGTAACTTGCATCAGAGCTGTTACAAGTAACATTGCTGTTTTTTGTAAATCTCTCACTGAGTTATACAAAGTTAGCAAAATACAAGATCTATTTGGTTTTCAAACTAAATGGGAGAACCCAGTTTTTTAGATCACATGGAGAGCAGTGTTCCACAAGGTGAATAATGGGACCACCTTTTTTCCCTACTTGTGTTAATCTTGGGAGATAATATTTTTTTGCTAACTATTATTGTGACAAATTATTGTTTGTACATTTCCAAAATTTGTACAAGTTACAATAGACTTCAGCATAGATTGAAGTTCTTTGACACACTTAAACATGGTACTTAACAGCAAAATGACTAATATGTCCATTAACTGTTAGCCTTACTATAAAATAGAAGTCATCTGGAAAATTATGTTTAAAAAGGCATCTGGTCATGACTCCACATGGATGACATCTGAAAATATTTTGATGCATAACATATTGTTGGTATAACATATTATATTTATCAAGTCTTTTGGGCAGAAGAAATGCAGTATCGTAATGGGATATTCATGGGTAAATAAAGTAAAGCGCATTCCACATTCTTACCTTTCCGGCGCATGGCAAGTTTATTGAAGAGATCAGACATAAAGTCTCCACCACTAGATGCTGCTCCAACAGCTGAATAACAAAAAAAAAGACAAGTAGATACTTAAATTCTGCCTCTAAATCAAATTTTCTATCAAAAATCAAACTTTAGTTGAATGAAATATAAATCTAAAACTGCCAGGACTATGAAGAATTTTTGGCTCAGTTGTCACTTTGAACTGTGGCAGTATAGGTGCGTCCCATCTCTAGATTGGATCCTGAAGTCATTGATGAAACATGCATGACCCCCTCGCAGTCCCTCACCTTGCTCTTGCTCTTTTTGTTTCTTCTTCTCCATCTTGCGTTCATTAACGTTACGTAACTTGGCTTTGCCGATGCCCCCGGCGTTGCGTATGGACTCCAGCAGATTGGCGCGCCCATCTGATGGCTGCACTACCTCGCTCGGCGCGCCAGACACTGGGCCTGTAGTCAGAGCATACAGTGAGGACAGCCTGTTAAACTTCACTCATTAATATCAGTTAGGTTAGAGCTAAGGGATAAACTAAATTCTCCTGCTGCAGTAGAAATGGAGGGTTATCACTTTAATACTGTTTTTACTCAAAGTGAAGAGCTCGGATGTAACCAACCTGAGCTTGGCGTTGGAGTAGCTTCCACGGGGATCTCTGTGGTAGGAGGAGGCGGAGGAGGCGGAGGAGGAGGAGCTCCTGCAGGAGCAGTGGGAGGAAGGGCAGGCTCAGAGGGAGGGGGTGGGGGAGGAGGTGGGGGTGGTGGAAGATTATTTTGGAGCTCAGGGCCTGAAACAAAAAAACATAAAATTAGCTTTTCAATAAAAAACAAAAAAAATGGCCCAAAGTTGAGGCAGGCAAAAAAATAAAAAATAAAAATGCAAATAAATTTAAGACACAATCAAGCAAGCGTTCAAAGGGCAGGTATGTCACCTGATGAAACGCCCTCCCCAGAGAAGGAGGGCAGCTCTGGGATGTTGAGAGTGGGTCCAGAAGGGGCAAATCCAGGTCCAAGATCTGCGCTGTATGACAGATCGTCTGCAATACCTGGAAGGTCAGGCAAGTAGGACGGCACATCTATCTCAGGCACCTGACCCAGGTCTGGCACGTAAAAATAACTTTCAGCTGTCTGTTAGAGAGGGGGAAAAATCATCACTAAGAGATTAGGCAATCCTGCACATTAAAAAAAAAATCAACCTAATACTGGATATGCTGGAACTTGCAGAAGCAAATTTCTACACATTTTTTTCACATTTTGCCACATTACAATCACAAACCTCAATGCATACAAGTAGGATTTTGCAAAGTTCCATCTACAGTAGTGCATACAAAGAATTGGATATGTGGTGTTCTTGAATCTTAAAAGTGTGGCATACATATGTAGTTATCCCCACTTTTTTGACTTTTTACAGATATTTAATCTCAGTAGATTTTATTTTAGGTATCAAGATAAAAAGGGATGAACACATACACAGCCCACTTTTTATGCACCATTTTATTTTGGCCTGTTGTGTGAAATTCACATGATAGATTTGTGGTCGTAATGTGCCGAGCCGCTATTGATCAACACATACTTGTCTCTCCAGCTGCTCTCTTGTTGTAATTGACAATGGGGCATCAAATGGTTTCTCCTCCTTTTCCGTCTCCAGAGTTTGGTGTGTTTTTGTCACGGCTCCAGCCAGAGGGTCAAGGAACACGTACTTTTTATATCTATAAGAAACAAAAGACAAGTTAAAAGATGCAGCGGCAATAACATTAAATCTGTGTAGCCGTTACAGCAGAAAACATTCCAGTCCGCCTCCGTTCACTCACAAGTTCTCTGTGGTGTTGAAGAGCAACAGAGAGCTGACGGATGAGATGTTTCGCGGAAGACTGCCCAATCCCTCTTCCGTCTCGTCCTCAGTCTTCTTCTTATTGCTCACGCACACTGGGAAATACGTTAACTTCTCCTGAAGGGGAGAGATCAATACAAAGTGTGTGTGTGGGGAGGAACGTGTAAATCTTGAGCAACTAGAATGACAAATGCCACGACGATCCCTCTGCTAAAGGACGCACACACTCTCAATCAGCGAGAATTATAAGGGACACTTCTTTTGGAGGATGTTAAATAATTCATTTCTGCACTAGAAACAACTGCTAGTGGGTTTTTTTTCTTCAGGCTGACAAATACACACAAATCCTTCACACAAACAAAAATCTACACTCTTGCAAGAGCAAGCACACGCAGCAGAAAATATGCAGGATTTTTGTAAAGGTTGCTGAGATGGTGCAGGAAAAACGGAGGGGCTCGGTATAAATTATTCACGAGCTTCTACTGAGCAGAGCGCACACAGACACACAAACTCTCATGCATTTACAGTCGATTTTCCCTGTCAATGCGCGCACAGCCTCTGATGTACTCCATGTACAGCATGTGACAAATTTAACGACGTGGGTTGCAAAATAACCTGCATCAAAGGTTCTGACAAGGAAAGAATGAGACCTGGGATCTGGATTTAGAAGGGGATGTCAAATAGCAGAAATTTCAGAGGTTTTTTCAGTTTTTTTCTAACCCTGTTGAGGAGACACTACTAACTACTATACTACTTTACATACTACTATACATTTCTTTCAGGCAAAAAGTGGGGTTCCTTCTGAGTAATTTAAAGGCATAGAAAGGGTATTCTCAAGGAAAATATATAAAGCATGTTTTATTTTCATCGAACATTGGATTGGTTAAATTCATGCCTGGAGGGGAGTTAAAATGAGACAGGCAGGGGTTAGGAGAGGAGGCTTATCAAAGCAAGTCTTTGATAAGTCTAAGCAATTTTAGAACACAGTAACCAGACATTTATTTAACAGGTCTCATATACAGCATTATAAAATAACATCAAGCAGCCGCCAAGACACAAAAATATCTGGAAATTTATCTCTTAATGATCAGTAAGTGGATCATGTTATTGTCCTTTTTACCCAAATAACAGTACAAAATTTGAAGAAGGGTCCTAAGACTCCGGAGTCTCTTGACAGACACTAGAATACTGCTTGAACACAGATGTTGTTATATTTCCAGATGTTCTGGACCAGCTGTGAGCTTGCTAAATGGGCAGCTTCATTCTTCTCATCATTGCTCAGCTTATCGAGCATTTCTTTTCCCACCAAAGTAAAAAGCTACATCTCTCTGGTTGCCACAGTGACAGTGGATGTGGGAAGCTGCATAAATGAGCTGAGGGAAATAGATGGTGTTTCCCCAACAACATCAGAAGAGTAAAGATAGCAGCACACACACTGCAAAAAAAGCCTTAAAACTGTGGATAAAAACTGTTTGTTACGGGCTTTCTGCACACTTAGGCTCAGTTCTCTTTGACTTGAAACTGACAATAAAACATTCCCAATCTCAAATTTCTGAATCTCAATCAGAATTTAGAGAAATTTTGTCCTGCAGCCTTCATACATATAAAAAGTTGAGATTAGCCCTGATGTCTTCTTTCTCCACAAGGCCAGAAACCCACAGAACCAACATCAAGATCTAATCTGTACATATAAAAGTATTTATATCTCTTTATAAGATACTGTGTTAAACTTCATGTCTGAATTGGTCACATAATTCCAGCATCAACAATAGCAAGAAGAATCTATGAATGTATACAAATAGATATACATTCCTCTGCTAAAGTGTACACAGTGTATTCATAACACTGTGTGAAGTCATGTTAAAAGCATAAGGAAACGTAAAAAAAC